TGTATTGCCAAGAGGCAAGCGGGGCAGATAGAAACGTCAACGCCTGTGGTAATGCCCATCCTGAAGATAAAGTCAAAGCAGGGGCAGAGCCTTAGCTTTGTTTCCCATGTCTGGAGATCGTCAGAGAAGCACAAGGGAAAGTGATGAGTTGTTTCCAGGTGTGAGCTCGTGGGGCGTGTCACATCTTATTGAGGCAGCACACAGCAAACATGTGGTATTGTTTTTAATGATCATTTACAGGAAAGAGCATTTGTGGTTGCGACACAGCACAACAGATGATGATGATGAGAGAGATCAGTGCAGGCTGTCGCAAATGCTCAGCTTACATCTGTTTTGTTTGTTTTCTTCTGTGCTCGCCAGAACAATCAGAAAACATTATCAAAGTGAACCACCACAGATCAAGTCTGATTTGATAGAAATATTCAATAATGTCAACGACGCAGCTACATAGCTCTTTATTTCCTGACGTTTAACTTGTATTTGTTATCTGTTACTGCATTTCCAACCAATTGGGGTTTTTTTTAATCTAACTTTATTGAATAGATTTATCTTTGATTTTATCTTCTTTTATATTGCTTGACATCAACCTCCCTTCCTTAGAGATATAAAAGTGCTTGCCTTTTTTAAATTTCAGATCTTTACAAAAGCAACCAAAATGTGTGCATACACGCTTCAAATTTAGATTTTTTTTTCTATTAAAAGCTCAGCAGTGATAGAAGAGCGGATCACAATTCCACTACAGCGGTGACATCTAGTGGTGCTTTTGCATTTTCACGTAGCACAGACCTAGTTGAGTGCAGTAGCTGCATTAAATCCTTAAAATCCTTTAAATCTTTGTTGTATTTGTTACATCTTATGTAAACACTTTAGTGTAAGAATTAGCATTAACAGCTTCATGTTACACCAGGAAAATATTTGTGGAAAATTGAGTGAAGTAATGAAAATGTGATTAGTTCAGATATTTTTCTATGGCATGATGTTAGCGTGGCTGTGTTTTGTCAAACAGGGGGAGGCCGATGATGCAGAGCAATGACAAGACTCACTTGTCAGACACGACTCCCTTCTAAGGGTGCTTTTCTAAATGTCATCACCATCAGAGTGAGGTCACCATGGGCACACAGAGGTGCCCTGATGTCCTTCTGCTCGCTCCGGGGGAAAACCTGACTAGATGGGCTGCAGGGAATGAAGTAGAGCTGTGAAAGATGGAGAAAAGAAACTGAACACAACCTCATTTACGTTTTGTTAGTGAGCCGGTTATTATAAGAAGACATGTTGATCGTGTGACTATGTAGAAATAACAACATGTTTGCACTCAAATCTTTAAGGAGCTATTTCTACTTCCTGGTAAGTCTTCTATATTCAGGTGCCATAAGCTTAGCAGGCATCACATTTTTCTCATGTATTTAACATTCACTGGCTTGGCCTCAGTACCAGTGCTGACAGCTACTGACTCAGTCCATAGCTGCTCCAAATTCCAGATTTCCACCTCTGCGGTTGCCTAAAACCCACTGACTGGACAGTGCATTTCTCATTTTTATTTAGTGTTTGGTTTTATTTATTTATTAGCAAACAATTTATATTTATGGTAATAGTAGATGAGTTATTTAAAGCAGCAACGACAGTAGGATCCGCAACATTTATCTGACAGTTTGCCATCGTTTTGCTTTAAGAACTGCTTTAATTCTTCAAGGCATAGATTCAATAAGGTGCTGCAATCATACCTCAGAGATGTTCTATATTGATGTGATGACATCACACAGTTGCTGCAGATTGTTGGCTGTACATCCATGACATGAATTTCATTTTCCACCACTTCCCAGAGGTGTTTTATTGGACTGACATCTGGAGACTGTGGAGGTCATTTGAGGCTGTGGTGTTTAAACTGTGTTCACTTTGTACTAAGGGGCTTAAAGTTTGCCAAGAAAATATCCTCCAGACCATTGCACCACCACCAGCCTGAACCCTTGATGCAGGGCTGGATTTATCTGTGCTGTCTTGGTGTTTATGCCAACTGTGTTTAAGAAAAATCCCAGTAGATAACCAGTTTCAGAAATACTGAAACCAGACAGCCTGGCAACAACAACGAAATCAGTAAGATCACCTTTCTTCACCATTTTGATGCTAGGTTTGAGCTTCAGCAGGTCAACTTGTCCGTGTCTACATGCACACAGTTGCTTGCAAAGTTGCATTAATGAGTGGTTGAACATAACAAAGTGACTAGTGAATACATACTGTAGACTAATGCTGCTACTATTATGACTAATGATACATAATAACAACATGATAATAGTAATAATCCGATTTTGATTAATGTCCAAGGAAATAGCAATCTTCAGTTACTGTGGGGAAATATATCCTCTGCTCTTGTTTGAGATTTTTACTTAACATGAGAAAGTTCTCCTGTAGTACATGTGTTGTAAGCAAGTACATGCGGTACTTAAAATAAAAAAAATAAATAAATTTAAAAAAACTACTTCTTCTGTGGCATCATTCCTGTTTTAACTATAATAGCACATATACATACAAATCCATACACCAGTTAAGTCCAGGCAAGGAGTAAAAAGAACAAAAAAAAACCCAAAACGCAGAAACTGTATAAACTTCAGTGTCAGTAAAGAATGAATACTTTAGTAAAAGTAATTGTCTAATGATCATATTCAGGCAAAACATTTACAGACTTAACTGCATTCAAGTCATTTAAAGCTGCCTTACATTCATCAAGTGAGACTCGCTCCTTTAGTTTTAGATGATTCCAGGAGGAAGGAGCTAGGTGCAAATCTTAAGGCTGTTTTTCCAAATTCATTGTAGCAGATAGAAGGAATAACTCTTGGGTATATAAGACAATAAATTCCCACACTTACTGAATATAAGTCTGTAATTAAGATGGGAACAAACCAAGAATAGCCTTCTAAATAGGAATAAACCAGTGCTTGGGTCTATGACGCGACAATGCAGACAATCCAACCTAACGTGCAGTGGTGAGTAAGAGCTTTAAAGTTTGTACTGAATCTTAGTGCTCCGTGATAATGGTATTGCAGTTGATGTTGTAAAGTTAGTTTTATTTGAAAAGATGTGATTACCCTTTGCTTGACTTGCAATGTACAACGATGTCAACTAGATGGCGGTAACATCTAGTCTTCGACCCCATTAAAGGTGTTTTTTTCGTTCTGCGCTGGCTTTCAGCCTTCTGCGCCTTCGGTTTGCCAGCAACGTGAGGAAATTTGAAAATAATGGCAGGCAAAGCTGAGTGGCCACTATGTAGCCAATTAACGAGTCACTGAACCGGCCAGGGAACGGCAAAATGAACGCACCGGGTATACTTATTTTGCAGCAGACCAAGTATGACGGTGTGGAGACCGTAAGAAAGTGTGCAAGACGCACATGGAACAGCTGCATTTGTGCAGTAAAGCAAATAAAACCTTCACTTTGTGCAAGCGTATTTTCTGTACAGGGTAGTCACAGCTATCAAACAATCCATGGCTGGGCATGTGTTGATGCTGCTGCAGCTGAAGCTGCCGTACATTAATCCAGTTTTTTAATTTTTCCTGTTGTTGAACAAATTCCCCCCAAATTCCAAAAAAAGCAATAATAATGCATGTGGATGTTTACTGAAACTGAACTCACTACTCTCGTAGTTACGATCATCTTCATAGCAACGACAGGTGCTGACTAAAACACTGAAGTGACTGAACTTAACTAAAACTTGAAGTAGTGAATTTGTTCCCCCCTCTGTATCGCGTCACCAGCCTCTGATATTGCACAACAGGCAGCTTTTTCCTTTCTTCCTTTTTTAACTCCAACGACAAGCATCACTGCCTGTAGATAAAAGACCGGTCCACCTCATATCAGCTATCAACAGCCACTTGACACTGAGAAGGGAAAAACCGACAGTCAGCTTTTTAGAGTCAGTGTTGCGGCCAATTTTATCGGATATTTTCGTTGGAATGGCAATCTGACAGCTCATCATACAGATAGTAATATTCTTAAGTGTGTAGCATTAGAAGTGGATGAGGTAATACCTTTTGAGAATAAAAGAAAATGTTGCTAATCAGTGGCTTTTAAACGCCAAGGTGCGCCTAATTTATCGGCTGATAAAATAGAAATAGAAAATAAATAAATAATACAATTAGAGCATCGTTTTCACATTTTTACAATTTCAGAAACTATATGCTGCTGACAGAAATCCTGAGGTTTTATATATTTTTCAGATTTTAAACTATATAAAAAGATATTAGCTGTTTATTTGTAGGGAATTTAAATAAAATTTTGTTTTTGCTATTTTTTTTTATTATGGCCAGATTTATTAAATTAAGCCAACCCTTCAGCTTGTTAGAAGCACTTCCAAACCTCTAATTTTACATTCATGACAAAGAGGCGCACATAAAGGACTGGAGAGGCTTAATTGTGGTCTGAAGCAATTCACACATATTTATTTCTGCATTTTAGAAGCTTCAAGCCAGGGAGTGAAATCCGGACAGGTTGTTATAGCTACGCAATCCACAGGGGTTCCGATGTCTATTTAAAAACCTTCAGACCCTCCCTCTCTCCTTTAAACAACATTATATATCACACACACGCTGCATGCTAATGCCGAGCAATTCTCAGTGAGCACTAAAACACATCTTAAAATTAGCTCATTCTGGTGTTTGAGTTCAAGCTCCCTGACATGGCAACAGAGGGAACATATCATCAGAATTCCCCCTTTGGCAATACCTGCTGATTGGGTCCTAAAAAAAAAAAAAAAAAAAAAAAAAAGCAAGCGGCTTTTAACTTTTAATATTTGGCTCTGAGAGTTCTGCCACGAGCACTCGCGAAAGAGAGAGTTGCCTCTGATTTTTCTTCTTTCATTTTTTTTCTTTTGGAGAAGAGAAATAAAAAATTGCCAGTGCAGCTTCGTTTTCGTCTTTTGTTTTTCTTTTCTTTTTTCTTAGCACTTCGGTTAAAATCCGTACGCGGATGAGTGCGCATGTAGGCATTCTGCTTGAGATGTTTTACGAAACTTTAAGGATGATATACCTTGGATGTTTCCTGTTGCTCTGTGGGCTTACGCATGTCATGGCAAGCTATCCTATCTGGTGGTAAGTTTAATTTTCATTATTTCCCGGACAAGAAGTGACACATTAAAAAACATGCGGGGATTGTGGATGACCTGTAATTTTGAGTTGTTATAGTTGTGACTGCTTGTCTGTCAACTGCAGAGCTTTAGCGTGTGGTGACGGTGATCTTTTAACGTTACTTTTTATAATATTATAAGACATGCACAGTGTGACTTTCTAATCGGGTCATTAAAATGACATTTAGTAACCCATGGAAACCGAAAGTATACAGGCGAAAGGATGGGCTGAATTGTAAACGCAAGAGATGAACGAAACGTGCAACTTTGCAAATCGGGAGCAATTTTGATCTCCAGAATGCAGCAGGTGCAAACTTTATGTGCTTGGAAGCGTGTGTCTATGTGTGCTCGTGCGTCCAGTGTGTGCGTGTGTCTGTGTGCGCGCGCGAGCGTGGTGATGGTGATGTTGTCATTGTATGTTGCCATGTGTTGTCATTTTTGCACTTAGCTCCCGACTTCATGTTTTCAGTCTTTCTGCCATGTAAATGCCAAAAAGAACCAAATGCGTGACGCTGACATTAATGAAGCAGAGCAGAGCTGCGTTAAAATTACGATAGTGTAATTAGTTAAAAAAAAAACTACAGGATTATTGTATTTTGGTATGTTGTGCTGTTTTGTAATATTTCAGCTTCATCCATCAGTCTTAGCTGTTATCAAAGCACAGAAATATATATATATATATATAATATATATATATATATATATATATATATATATATATATATATATTTCTGCCTGATTTCTAATAAATCATTCAATATTTGGAGGACGCTTAATCTACTTTTCTTAATGGGTCCCCTGGTGGTAAGACTGATGAGAAACTAATTACATGCTCAGCTGGAAGGAAATCCTGATATAAAAGTGGGCCCTCTGGATGGAGCGATGGGGGGACTGCACAAACTACTTTTTTTTTTTTTTTTTTTTTCCAGTGTAATTGAATGTTTGGTTTACTTTATTTATTTGATGCCAGTGCAAGATAAAGTTTTGCATTTTTTTTCTTGGTACTTTGGCAAACACAGCCAGGGAAAACCTTGAAATTCACCCTTCATAAGAGTTTTCTTTCTTCTTTTTTTTGTGGAGCTTGTTATGAATGACACAATGGAAGAACAGTTTTCCATTCTGTCATAGCTGAAACCCTGCAGCAAGCCCAGAGCTAACTTCTGTGTTGATTGTTTGATTTTGGAGGGTGCCAGTGATTGAAGGGTCTAACAACAGGGGTAAACATAATGGAAGCAAATTTTGCTGCATCACTCCCGCCTATACAAATAATGTCTAAGTGCAAAAGTAACTCATGAAATCACTTTTCAGTTCTTTCATTCCTGACACAATGCTGAACTTTTTTTTAACTTGAAAGATTACTTGAGTGATTTTTCTGCCTCATGGCAACTCATCCCAAGTCAAATAATGTGGTTCCTTTGGGATTGCACTTAGCATGCCTGCATTGTCTTTCCGTTTGCTAACAGCATGCCAGCCATCTATGATCTAGACCTTCTGTGAAAAGCAGCTTACGATGTTTTGCTGACAGAAGCTTGCCTTCAAGCAGCCATGGGAGCTGCATCACTCTCAACCCCTGCACCGCAGTCGTTCTTGGGGATACGGCTCTGCACTAAGACAGGTTCATGTCTGTCTATTCTCGACCTGCCATGACATAGCCTGGCTGCACCCGCCACCCCACCACCTTCTTCACTGGTCCACCCCACCTTAGAAGATAAATACCTGGAGGTGAAAGCTTGCCGCACATTCCTTTTCCCAAACATATTCTCTTGATGTCAAAGTCGGCTCCAAGGCCTCAGGGCCCACAAGTAAAGTGGTAATTCTAAGGCACCCTGCTTGGGCTTGCTGAAATATGCATTAAACCTGTACTGGATAAACTTAGATGAGTGGGGGAAACTTTGTACTGAGGCAAAAAGTCATATACATCGTATATATTTTGCTTAATTTATCTGTAACAGTTATCACTAAGGTGCTCCTTTGAAAACAATAGCCTTAAGAGCATGAGTGAATCCTGTGTTTCCTCATTAGTTGTACTAAACATCACATGTGCAACATCTCTGCAAAGCAGGAGAAAATCAGTGGATTTCTTTTTTTTTTTAGAAAGAATTAAAGAGATTAAAGTTGCCAAGACTCAATAAATACCTAAAATCTAAATAATACAGCAGGTATTTTAAAATAGTTGTTGGAATTAGTATCCAACAACACAGTCTTTTGTGCAATAACTTCTTAAAAAATCATAAATCATCCATGGTGAAACATGCCCCGCCGCCTCTCACGGGCCATTTCCTAACACAGAAAAGAGGTGGCAGGGATTACTCAGCCCCAATGAGACAGGCATGGAGACTCTTGAGCCAAGCAGCCTAAGCACACTGACTCACATTGAGCTTGTGGGGTACAGTTCAAGACAGTGACAGGGCAGAAATACCTCTGCTGACCCTCATTGGTGTGAGTACAAGGACCTTTAAAGTTGCTGGTTTTCCCAAGATGATATTGCCACTGACTTTCATGATTACCTGCTGTTGAGATGCACACTTGCCAAAAAAATTTGAATGCAGGTTCAAGAAGAGACAGAGAAAGAGCTACAACTGACAACTCCCTTCAAATCCATTAAAAAAAAGAGAGCTCTGCTCCTAACCTGAACATCTGTACCAGTTCTCTTTGGCTGATGAACTTTCACCAGTAAAAAAGAGGTCAATTGTAGTAGGAAACTGCCTTGTGTATTGTTGTTTGTAGCAGACAAAAGGCAGATAAATGCGATATGTTCTGAAGAGGTTTTTAGCATGCCATTGCTCACTTACTGGCTGTCTCATTTATGATGAATTAGGCTGGTGTAGTCTGTAGAAATTAGGCAAGAAATTCTGTTGAAACCAATGTGACTCATTGCTTTGATGTTTTCTTGGGAGAAATAACAGGAGTAACTCATTGGGTCAGTTCATGGCTCAGGAGCACCTTTGACACCTGGCAGACATCCTTAATAATTACAGAGAGCTGAAAATCAACCTTTGAATGTAAAACCTAATTGAGGTATTAAAGGTTGGTACGATGAAAGCCATCAGAAACCGTCAACATGTGGGGTCATTTGACTGTGAGGCTCTTTCTTTTCTTCAGGTTAAAAAAAACCCTGCCTGAGGGCCAAAGTCAGGAATTTGGTAATCTTGTTTTGATCAGCGATTAGTCCTTGAACAGCAGTGAACAGGTCAGCAGATAGTGAGCTAACTGCAAAGCAAAACACTGCACACCTGCTCTTAAGCTGCATTTATAGAGAATCTACATTAACCATTATGACTCCAGCATCGCCCAGGGGATGACAAACTGAACACTCCTTCCAGCGTTCAGTCCTTAATAGACAGTTGATGTAAATTAAGGGCTTGTCTTGATTGCCAGCAAGCTACTTTGTAGCTACTCCAAAAGGTATTTGCCAAAGATAACAGGAACTGTGCTATTCAGTAATTTGGCTGTTCTGTGCCATTATGAAAGAGTCAAAGTGCTGATTTGATCATTTACCATAGAAGGCAATTACTGCAGGCCAGTTATTCATGCATTAAAAGAAAAAATGTCATTTTCATCCATCTGTTTTCCATCCATGCTTCTATCCAGCTTATCCCGGCCAATTTATTAATTTTTATAGATATATATATAATCAAATGTATTTAAATGGAGAGTTCAGAATCCAAATTCAAACCTGTTAACTGCTTTTATATTGGTAGAAGAGAAGAATTAGAAGCCGGAAGTAAATATTTGATTTGCTTTGGAAATCTGTTTTTTAAGTCATTGAGGGGCAGAGCTTTGCTGTTTTTAGGCTAAAGACAAATCGAATCAGCCTCCAACACTTTTTGCACTGCTTGATTAGAATTCTAAGAAAACTATATAAAATTTTAAACAAAATGGCATAAATCAGTATGCCTTTTGTGCAATGCGGAAATTCCAAAACATGGCCATGCAAGCACCCTGCAGCGTCTTTTTAAGTCCTTCTTAAAAATGGGTCATTCATAAAATGGATATCCAATATCTGTGATTACTACCTGCTAAAAGTCTTAATTGAGAGGACACAGAAAATAAAGACAAAGAGAAAGCAATACAGGCACAAAGAGAGCAAGAGAGAGAGAGAGAGAGAGAGATGTAATCAGTGAACCAAGTTTGCACTTGTTGTATCCCAGAATACCTTCCTCAAAAGAAAAAAGGAGGGGAGGTTCAGCGTTACTCTTAATACACTCTCTGAAGTTTCAGCGTAGGGTTTGCACTCTTATTACCCTAAGCTGAAGGCCTGTTAAGTGTGCGGACAGTTAATAACAAGGTGCAGTTTTCCAAGTTGTCAGCTTAAGGTCTATGAAGACCTCTGGATGCATAACGGACTTTCATCTTAAACAGAAACACTGCCTGCTTCTGAGACTGCAGGGCTGCAATTTCAATACACACAAAGGCCAGGTGCCTGCAGAGAGGGTAGTTGAAGGGATAAAGAATGGATGTCTAATGGTAGCATCTGATACAGAAAAATAAACACACACAATCAAACGTACTCAGACGTAAAATTACACTGCACCAGGAGGGAAATTAGTCCCCCACTTGAGTGGTGTTATATCAGTAGATAAAGATGCAGACAGATAAGATATAATTATCCAAATGCACTGACAACACGACTTCCTTTCTGCTTGTAGGTCACTAGCAGTCGGCCACCAGTACTCATCACTGGGCACTCAACCTATCCTTTGTGGCAGCATACCAGGCCTAGTGCCCAAGCAGCTGCGTTTCTGCCGGAACTATGTGGAAATCATGCCGAGTGTGGCTGAGGGGGTGAAGATTGGCATCCAGGAGTGTCAGCACCAGTTCAGAGGCCGACGCTGGAACTGCACCACGATCAATGACAGTCTGGCCATTTTTGGTCCAGTGTTAGATAAAGGTAATGTTACAAAGCACACAGAGTTTTCTTTCCTGCTACTTTTCTGTCAAAAAATAACAATTTGTAGAGTCCTTAAGTCTATAAAGATATTTTCTTGAAGAAATGCCACTTATCAGTAAAAAGTAGGCAACACTTTTTGCAGAAAGAAAAACAAACTATGCCTTTCTTTGACAGGAAAAGATGACCAGAGTAAAGTAGTATTATTAGCTTATGATGACTCCACTGTCTTTGAATATGTATTTGAGAATGTCTTAATCTCTGCAAAGTTCTTGGAAGTATTTAGCTCTTTAAACCGACTGAAAAAAAAGAGCAATAAAAGTGACTTATCATGTCTCTCTCCTGATTAACTCTCCCATTAACAATTCTATATTCCCTTTGTCTTATATTTGCATTAGAAGAGCTGCACTCCCAGCATGCATCATTCATTATGCTGATTCAAATCCTTGTTTAAATAGACTTTAGACTGAACAAGTCTCGGGGGTCTGCATGCATGCAACGATGTACACGACTAGCCTAAGTCGAGTGAGTTCTGTCTTGTTGGAGTTTTCTTTAGGAGGGGATCCCCTGTGATTGCTGGTATTTTCTTCTGATGTACTTTACCCAAGAGATGAACTGAACTGAAGCATAGAGGTTTTCTAAAATACATTTTAGCTTATGCAGTGATAATTTTCAGGCATGTGTCTAATCATGAGCTCAGGCAAGAGAAATCCCCATTGCCCAGAAAACTAGCCATAAAACCAAGAAAGAAAGAAAGATGATATATGTGTATATTTAATAGTTAATGCAGTTGATCATAATAAAATTTTTAAAGAGTGAAATATTTCTTAGTAATTAATGAGGGGCTAGTGCAATATTTAGTGTGCAGACATAAGTGTGATCTTTTTACTTTATTCCATCTCCCAGCAGGAAAGCAAATGAGACTGTTTCCCAAAACATCAGATTCACACTTTGATTGGATAGATGAATTCTTCTTCCTGATTTCTGAAATGAGTTAAAATCAAGAATCCATGCAGGCCCCAGTGGCTGAGGGTCGTGATCCAAACTCGTCATCTAGTTTACGGAAGACTGATGTAAACACAAGGGGGCCGGGGGTCACGTAGGGCAATTGCTTTTAATAAACTCTTGAGCCAGTTGATAGAAGAGGCTGGAGTTGAAGTAGGTGGCTAACGATAGGGGTTCTCAATCCCACTGCTATTGTGGTGCAAAATGCCACCACGTCTTTCCCTCTGCATCCCCTCCCAGGCCTAAATTGCAGGGGTGCTGACTGGAAAGAGAAGGCGGCTACTGGGCTCTAGTAAATCATTTTGATTGGATTAAGGTCACTCAGGCCCTTAATAATGTGAGAGGTCAAAGTGGCTGGATTAAGTGCCTTTGTCAAAGGCTGAGGAGAGTAGCTCAGGGGCTCACAGGCCTTTGATAGGACTTAGTAGGAGAGAGCTTCCATTTCATTGGATTTGATTGATGCTAGTGTTTGTCCATGCAACCAGGCCATTGTCCTCACTGGTGTCAGTTTGTCTGAAATTCAGATTCTTGTTAGTCAGTTTCCTCCTTCCTTTTTGTTGCCAGATTTGAAAGGAAGAGTAGGCACCTTTATTTGCTACAGAGGCTTAGTTACTGTCAGTTCAGTGCATCACTGCCCGTGTCCACTTCAACTCCACTGAGAACATTAGAAGTTTGTTTTAAAGAAGTGGATTAAGAGGGACTAAAGGAGTAAAGCCTTTACAAAAAAGAAGGCAATGTAGTAAACGGAGTTGAACTACAACTAAAAAATCAATTGAAATGAACAGGTTGTGCATTTTGAAGATAAGTTTAATGGGTTACATTAAACTATATGCACATAAAAATGCTCTTACTCAATGTGAGCATACATTAGTTAACCACACAAACACTCATCTAAGAGTATTATTACTTTAGAAAAAAGCATATCTTATATCATGTTCTCTCCTTACACATGGTCTAAACCTCTTTTTTTCTCCACACCCCTGCCTCCAGGCTATGTCTGCGTCAGTGCTCATTAATTTACATTAACTAAAGTGTCAAAACATGCACCACTGGAATCTGCCTGTGATGAAAGGTAATAGAAAGCTGCACAGGTGTTCCTCAGTCTGCAGAGCCGATCCCAGAGCTATTTCAGCATTCTTGGTATTTACAGAAAACCTGAATGCTATATGGGTATAATCAGTCTCCAGTTTATGACTCATGTGATGGGATTAGGTTTCTTTGCTATAAAAAGTGGACAGTCACAGTTTCACAAGTCTTAACACCCGTACAGGAAGTCAATGCACCGTCATTTTTCTTTTTGAAGATAATGAAGTTCACTGGAACTATTATGTAATTTGTTAGCGATACTGAAAAGTTTGACACTATTGTAGCTCTAGCTTGTCTTCATTCACTGTGGGCACGTTTGCACTGGGCAGGATGCTTTGTTTGCCAGGAAATACAGATACCTAAATTGATCTAAATTATTAAGTTCCATCTAAACTAACCAGGAAAAGGCCAGGGGATGTGGGTTGTGACCTATGACCTGAGGATGAGAAAGAGTAACTATTTAGGATGAGCCAAAAGGTCCCTGCATTTCATGAGACGTATGTCTCTCCATGCTGGGGGAGGGAAGCTGGCTCACCAGTATATCATTAACTCTGTGCAAGAAAGAAAGAAGGGATGTGGTAAATGGAGTTGATGGGGGGACCTTAGCCCCACTCCCCGCTGGGCACTGCTCAGAGCACAATATCTTCGCAACCATGAGATTAAGCAGGAGAAAAAGTGCTTTTCCCCATTCACACGCCCTTTAGATTGTTTTATTAAACCATTTGAATAGGGATTTCCCTGTCTGCCGACAAGCAGGGTCCAGCCAATGCATAGTTCTCTGTTGCTATGACTTAACTTGGTCCCCACTAATCACTAGCCAGGGCAAATTTCATATAAAATATCTGGGGCTATTGTGGGACTAACACAGCGTGACAGTGGCAACACAATAGGGGATTCAACCCCCCAGCAGGTTGTAGGGACCGCTTGGCCTGCCAGAGTCTGGCAAAGTTTGGTGGAAAAGCATTGTCTGAGAAGAAATACCACAAATTGGTCATAAAACTAAGGAAAAGCAGTGGAGCTAATGTCACAGGTGGAGTTTCCAGGTACAGTGAATGCTGTCAGAGGTGGATTTAAATCCAAATGAAAACACGCGTTTAAAAAAATGGGTGATTGTTCTGATTAAGTTTTCATTAGTACCTTCCAGTGAGTTTTTACTGTCATGTATAAATGGGCCATACACGAACAGTGATACCATACCATCGAAACTAAATTTAGAATGTGTTGTATGTTTATAGTCAATATCAACAAAAAAGGTAATCTGATGAATTAGAAGCTTGCAGGTGGGGCAAATGGGGCAAATTTTCAGCAAAGCTCTTCAAAATTTTAGAGATATTTCCATTTTCTTGAATGCTTATTCATTTGATAACACCAGGCTTTGTGAAGATCTTGTAAAGTAGCTTGTGAAAAATTGTAAATACTATATAAGAAATCTATTATTTCACACAGAAATGCCAGGATATTTTTCGTGTGCTTCAATCCTTCTCCACTGACTATTTTACCACAACATTGCACTCCCCTCACATAATTCTATGACAAGTTCACAGAATATCTATGCTGATGGCTGTGCGCTCTTTTTAGTAGCACAGAAGTATGTTCAAAGATATTTTCAGACACAAATGTTAGTTCCAAAATCCTTTTTCGGCATTTGAAATTAAATCTGTTTTCTAAGTCACTTCAGATTTAATGTAAGCCAAACACCTTAGATATTCACTCAAACTGAAAACACAAAGCTCATGCTCAGTCAGCTTTAGATGAAGCATGGTGATGTGTAATTAATCACTGTAGACAGTTCCTTCATGGCGCAGTCTTTGGCTACTTTGACTTTTCACGAAAATGAAACAACACCAAATAAAAAGAAACGTGTTGGATTCACAAAGTGGGATTTGAGGAAGGAGAGCATTAGTTCAAATGTATTTGAACATTAGTAACCTTGTGTGTATACAGTAGTGGTAATGAAATGGGTGGTGAGGGATGCCAGTAGACCTTTTCTCTTGCATCATTGTTTCTAATGCCCTTTAGTCCTGGAACTGGTTGGAACCTGCTGTAAGGGAGGAGCTCGTTCTCCCCTCAGCTTTATACGCCTTTACTTTTTTTCTTTTCTTTCTTTCTTTATCATTTTTTGTTCTTCAGACAGAAACGTGCACTGTTTCTATCAAACACATACTCGAACACATCTCACGCAGACAGCGCAAGATTTCAATATTGATCTTAAACCATTTCTTTTACTCTTTTTTTTATCTTTAGTGTGTTCAGTTCATGTTTACTCCTGAAGTTTCCACTTCATCCTGTCTCTTCTCCTTCTTTGTCTTTGCTTGTGTTTTTGCAAGACCATACAAGTACATATATTCAAAGCAAACACTCCGTCTAATGATTCATGTTAAAGCAGCTGACAAGGAAAGGATAGAAGGAAAGTCTTTCCCTTTTTGGAATGGTATATCTGTTCGCTAAAGACCCATCTCCATGTTGTGTCTATGAGCTGTCCCCTCAGTGTGAGGCTGTTTCCTAACCTTTCAAAAGCTTAATTGAGTCTCTTAATTATAGGCCTGTCAGGCCCGTCTCTTCCTCTCATCTCTCTGGAAGATCCTGATCCCTCTGACTCATCAGTCAGACAGAGACGTAGAGGCCTTGCTGGCCTTATTTAGAGACAGGACGATTGATGTCTGGTTAAATTAACCCACACACTGTTGCGATATAGTAGATACAACCCAAATACAAGCAGCAGACAGGAGTAAAGGTCTACTTAGTTTGTTTGATGCTTTCTTGTTTTGTTTGGTTGAAGATGTTTGCTGCCAGCATATCTTACATATTATTAAATTTACACATTGTATATATTATATATTATGTATTAAAGCTATATCTTTCTTATTCATTTTTATTTAAATTTAATATAAATTGAATTCTGGAAATACTCAAGAGATACATTATCCAAGTGATGCTTGTCTGTCTTTGTCTTTCCAGCCACTCGAGAGTCAGCTTTTGTTCACGCTATTGCCTCAGCGGGAGTGGCGTTTGCGGTGACCCGTGCCTGCGCCGAGGGTTCAGCCAACATCTGTGGATGTGATACACGTCACAAAGGCCCCCCTGGTGAGGGCTGGAAGTGGGGTGGCTGCAGTGAGGATTTGGAGTTTGGAAGCATGGTGTCCCGGGAGTTTGCTGATGCAAGAGAGAATCGGCCTGACGCACGCTCAGCAATGAACCGCCATAACAATGAAGCAGGGAGAGTGGTTAGTTCTCTTATTCATGTTTTTGCTGTGTCTGTGGTAGCAGTTCTTCTGCTTTTAAAAGTTATATTAACTAAACTTTATTTTTTTTAATCTGTAGTCTCTCAACGACAACATGTTTCTGAAGTGTAAGTGCCATGGACTCTCTGGCAGCTGCGAGGTCAAGACATGCTGGTGGTCTCAGCCTGACTTCCGAGTTGTTGGGGACTACATGAAGGACAAGTATGACAGCGCTTCTGAGATGGTGGTTGAGAAACATAAGGAGTCCCGTGGATGGGTGGAGACCCTGAGACCCAAGTACAACTACTTCAAACCCCCTACAGAGCGCGACCTGGTTTATTATGAAAGTTCACCCAATTTCTGTGACCCCAATCCTGAGACCGGCTCCTTTGGCACTCGGGATCGCATCTGCAACCTGACGTCCCACGGCATAGACGGGTGTGACCTCTTGTGCTGCGGCAGAGGTCACAACACGAGGACTGAGAAAAGAAAGGAGAAGTGTCACTGTATTTTCCACTGGTGCTGCTATGTCAGCTGTCAAGAGTGCGTGAGGGTGTACGATGTGCACACCTGCAAATAGAGAGGTTTTTGTCTTTTCTCACCAAAACATAATGACTTCACTGGGTTGAAGAAGAAATGCAGATTCCCACCTGCAAGACCAGAGAGACTGTAAAGCTCTGTGACATGTGCGCGGACAAAGACACAACTGCCTCGTGTTTTTGTTTTGATGCTACAAAGAGTGAGTCTCTGCCTAAATTAACTGAAACAGCTGAGTAGGTGTCAAAGTCCACGAACGTCACCCTGATGGATGGATAGTTGTGATGATGGCAATAATGTTGATATCCTTACCGAGCATGAAAAAGGTGTCCTGATGTAGGAAAGGAGAACTTGACAAACACCATATTGGTGATTTTTTTCCCAGTGTAGTTACTTTTAATCAAGAATAGTCCAGCACTACCAATGCTTTCAAATCTGCAAGGCAAAAAAAAAAAAACATTTAAAAAAAGGCATTTCGTTGAAAGTGAACGTTTCCTTCAGTGTGTAATCATCGCTTGTTTTTGCAGTGAAAAGTAACAAGAGTTGTGAGCAGGTCACATGATCAGACACTCAACAGCATGTTTTCTCCTCCTCGACATGACTACTTTATTTGCGTATTTTTGAACACTAACACGATCATTGTGTGCGTGAGTGTTTCTTTTACAAAGTGTTATATGTTACTGATGTTTGGGTAAGAATGCACTTGCACCTGAGTGAATGTAGTTGTTTGCTGTGATGTGTTTACATTCTCAATCTCTTAAGCTAACCAGTTAATATCTGCTTTAAACCACTAATTTTATTCGCGAGTAGAAAGGAAGCCACATCCAACAAGCGTCGGCAAAACGAGAATATAGTACGCAGTCTGCACATTTCCTGAAAGGCCAGAGAACACCTGGATCAAAAAAACCATCAAGAGTTATGACCAAAGACCAGAAAAGAGCCTCCCCATCCACCGCATGAGGCTGTGATAGTCAGTACCATTGATGAATATGAAGCATGTTCTCCTTATTCTTAACAGTATTAGTGATGTGCCACGTGACTCGGTGTGGGGAAAGCTGTTATTTATTAAAGGTGTATTCCCATATACACATATAATATAATATTTAATCAAATAGAAGCATACTCCCTGGTAAACACAGCACAAATGGTAATTAAAAAAAGCAAAAAAAGAAAGCAGACAAAGCTGTATTTTATAAGCTCTCAATATTGCAGTGTAATTTGCAGTAATGTGATGACCAAAACGTGTGTATGCGATCATCCTCAGCCGTGGCTTTTTGTTCCCAAACTAAACAACAAGCAGCATCACTGAAACTATCAATACTTCCTTTGTTTTAATGCTGCTACGATAATATGTGTACGTGTTTAGGTCCTTACACACAGTTTGTCCTCGTCTGTCTGTTTAATATGTGTATTCTTTGGCATGTATTGATTCTTTCTGTGAAAGAAATCTATTATAAGTAGTTTGGGTTAAAAAAAAAAAGTGAAGTTTTACTAATTTTTGCATACAGTTTAACCAAATAGACCAGAATAGAGTTTAATATGTTATTTTAGTCATCTGTTACCTTGTAGTCATGCTAAAACACCAGGGCTAAGATGAAACACGTTGTGCTCTCTTAATTTGAGAAGAAATACAAAATAAAAATTCTTTTTTTACTTACGTGGAAAATATAAAACTACTGAAAGCTGAGACAGAAAGTTACACAAAGTTTATGAAAAGTGCGTTTCACTGATCGCCTCCACTGTGGAGGAGTGTGTAGAGTTTCTCATTAATGTTTACAGCTAATGTAATGCTACGTCTCAGGCGTGCGCGTTTAATTCAAAAATGCCCACCCAGGATTCGATAACGTCACGACTGAAAATATCAATAAACAGCCATAACCAGTTTCACATTTTAGATCATTTTTAGCAAACTACGCAACAACCAGCATTCATACTAAAAGAGCTGTTACAGTACACTTTTTCTGTGAGTGATCGCCTGTATGGATAATTTGGTTCGTTCTAATTTGTTTTTGTTAAGTCTTTAAATCCAAAGTTTTGTACAAACTAGTTCTGTGTTTTTATGAATTTCTAAAAGCCGATGTTTTTTTATAATTATTTATTTTATGCTATGTACATATTAGTAATTAAAAGTATATATTTGCGGAAATACATGTTTTGAAATGGTGTTGTGTGACTTGTAACTTGTAGCCTTTTTACCTCATCTCTGTTGTTCCACTGACTGGATACAGGTGTTTGTCCTACTGCCTGTAGTAGATTTCTAAACGTTAACTCTGTAACACCAAAATAAAAAAAATATATATTTTAAAAAAGAAAAAAAAGAGACAATGTTTCTTTTTCTGTGGTTGAAGATTTTTATTACAGTTTTTCTCAGTCGCTTTGGTGCGTTTCTCAGATCAGAATTGAAATTCTCATAACTATTAGTTCAACCTCCACAACACTCAGTCATTTGTGCACATCATAGTAGCAATTTCTCCTCTCTCTGAACAAACTGCAAATGATTTTGGACATGAATCAGTTGCTTCCATACATTTCCCTGCTGCTTTCTGACATTTCCATTTGCTTATGTCATGTCAGTCAAAAGTAATCATACCTATGGATGCTGAATAGTCATTCCCAATAAAACTAATAGTCATACATCCATTGCTTGAGTCATCACACACAAAATTGTTGAACTAGTTATCACATGCCAAATATTGGCCATCTGTCAAGCAAATCCTATACCTTTCTGTATCATTTTTCCTGGAAATGTCTCCGAAATTGAACAATTGATCTCAGGTGAATTACAGCTGTCACTCATGAGGAGGCGTGTGAAAGTTTAGTTGTAACCAATGACAAACAACTTGTTCACTGTCAATTATGGATGAATCCTGTGAATCCCCAATTGGCAAGCATATATAAACTGCGCAGGAGCTAGTGTGTACCATTTCTACACTTCTGTGACACAAAATGGAAGGTCAGCACCGTGGAAGAGGGGTGAGGATGCGGGGAGGAAGGGGAAGGGGAAGAGGGAGAAGAGGCAGAAATAGGCAGATTCCTAATGAAATAAGGGCTACAATTGTGGACCATGTTGTCAATCACGGCCTCACCATGGAGGAGGCTGGTCGAAGGGTGCAACCCAATATTGGAAGAACTACTGTCAGTTCAATCATTCAAACATTCCGTAGGGAAAACAGGTATGCAAACAGTAATACACTGTACTGTACTGTGCCATCTCAGACACATCACATGTTACTGTACTGTATTTGCAATTTCACAAAAAGTTCACTCTGCACCACATAGGATTGTAAGATAACCTCGCGGAGGCGGAAGAGGGCCCCTTTTTACCCCACAGCAAGAAGAAGCCATTTGTGCAATGGTCATTGCAAACAATGCAATAAAGCTGAGAGACATACAAAGCGCTGTCATAGAGAATTACACGGTATTTGGCAATATTGAATCTGTTTCAATTTCAACAATTGACAGAGTACTCAAGAAAAATGAAATCCACATGAAGCAATTGTATAAAGTGCCATTTGAACGAAACAGTGACAGGGTGAAGGAGATCCGTCACCAGTATGTGCAGGTAAAGCTGGTCTTCTATGTTCTGCACTGCAAACTGTTTTACAGTACTTCGTAGTTTCATGCAGTACACTTGCAATTCCACAGCACATACTCTACAATGTGTTTTACTAAATGCATGCATTACTGTTTGTTACTGTACACAGGCATATTGTGACATTGCATTTCTGTCTCTCTCTAAAGCGTGTACTGGAGCTGGAAGCCAGGGAAACACTGCACACATTCATATATGTTGATGAGGCAGGTTTCAATCTGGCCAAAGGCAGAAGGCGTGGAAGAAATCGCATTGGACAGAGGGCAACCACTGAAGTCCCTGGTCAGCGCGGAGGGAATATTACCATGTGTGCAGCCATCTCAGACAACGGCGTCCTCACCCATATCGCCCTTCTTGGTCCATACAATACCCAACATCTCCTGACATTTTTAGACACTCTTTACAGGGACCTAGTCCCTGAGAATGAGAGAGGTGGAGGCCAACTCAGCAAGTATGTTGTTGTCTGGGATAATGTCCGTTTTCACCACTCCCATCAGGTCAGAGAGTGGTTTGCAGCACATGACAGAATTCTGGTTGAATATCTCCCTCCATATTCCCCATTCCTTAATCCAATAGAGGAGTTTTTCTCTGCCTGGAGGTGGAAAGTTTATGACCGGCATCCACATGAGCAAATGGCCCTGCTAGCAGCCATGGATGCAGCATGTGACGACATCACAGCAGGGTCCTGCAGAGGATGGATTCGCCACTCCAGGAGATACTTTCCTCGCTGCATTGCGAGGGATAACATCTGTTGTGATGTAGATGAAAATATGTGGCCAGACAGACAGGAACGTCTGGATGTGCCAGAATGATTTACTGTACTGTTACATGTGCTGTTTATTGTTCACATTAGTGCACAGCTCTACCAAATGGGTGATTTTATGTTTACATGTATTCTACAGTGAACAAGTGACTGTAGCATATTTTTCTTTTGCACAATTCTGTAGGATTACAAACACTTCTACACAATGGAAATGTGAAACATACGTATTCAGTGTCTCAGTTACTCCCAAGACTCCCATAACATCTACAGTGACTTTACTGCACATTTCAGATGGCTGTACAGGTAGGCCATAGTGCTGTCATCAGCATTTTCAGGTGTCACCAATTGTTTTTGCAATGGGAAACACTGAAATTATAAACTGTCATAGTGGAAACATGACAATGCCATTTGACTATCTTGTTCATAAAGATGGTGTCAAGACTTTTCATTTTGATGGCACTGACAGTTTCATTGACATGGATACTTGCTTTTGAGGTATGGATAATCAATTCTGTGCATGTGATGTGCTTTTGCAGGCTATCCACTAGGTTTTGCAGTTTGCACTAATTGTTTTGGGAAATGCACTAACTGCTGTGCAAATGTTAGTGGTGTTCTGAGGAACGCACCAAAGCGACTGAGAAAAACTGTAAAAACATGCACAACTGGTGTAGAGCACCCTGAATTACGTTGTACATGTACAACTACAATAAAGGCTATTCTATTCTAAAACAGGGGCAGCCAATTCATTTCCCCAAAGGGTCAGATTGGACTGGGACTCTCTAGATTAACTTTATCTCTTCATAGACTTATTGGGGCATGTGCTCATTTTGGCCCTTGGGAAAATGCCAACCCATTATCAAAGATAAAAGTGAAAGATAGATAGATAGATAGATAGATAGATAGATAGATAGATAGATAGATAGATAGATAGATAGATAGATAGATAGATAGATAGATAGATAGATAGATAGATAGATAGATAGATAGATAGATAGATAGATAGATAGATAGATAGATTTATCTTTTAAGCAGAAAATTAAAAATTGGTATGTTGAGTTAGTCATAAACACCAATAGATTCAGATCCTAATGCCCAACCACAGGCTTTGGATTTGTTGTGGGACAAAAGAAGAAAAAATAAGGCTGGACTCATAATTTGATTCCTTTGAGAAACTGCAGAGGCCAGCTGTGCTTTTTAAGAAACAATAATGGCAAAAAAAATTCTTAGTAATGAGAGTTTAGAATAAGATGGAGCTTTGTTGAGGAGAAAGACCTTATCTCAAGATAGATTAGGAGTTGGGTGTGAATAGAGCCCACCAGTGTTCCAGCTCAGCTGCTGGACCCCTGATAGTCTTTGAGCCCGGCAACAATGTCACCACCAGAGGCCAGGTCTCAGTGCTATCTAACCCTATTATCACACAGAAAGATTGATACACACCCCCTCCAGAGTGGAAGCACCACAAAAAAGTGATACCCTTCCGTTGTCATTCATGTGAATTTACTAGTGTGCTCACCTCCACATCGAGCTATATTTTAAGCTTTCTGTCCCAGTTTAACTCATTACGCGGGTGCACTCAGACACTCATTAGAGTGCTGCAGCTTCTAAACCCCTCCCCATGACTGAAAATGAATAAAGACAAGTTGAAAACTCTGTTGTGTATGAACCTGGGAGCCAGCCAGGTTCAGGAGTTATCTAACGGCCTGGAGGGTGTCGGCAGCTCATTCCACA